CAACAACAACAGAGATATTCCTTGCTAAACGAACTGCTAAAGTGGCGAATATTAATTACGGTAATCATAAAATCGCACTCAAGTGAAATTATCATAAATTACCCAAATCAAAATATAACGAAAGCGCAAACAAAACAAACTAACCGAAAAGTGTTGCGAACGAACTACGAATCAAGTGCTGTACAACTGTGAACGTACTCGATACCAAAATGACTATGAAATCGATGAAGTACTCTGATTGTGATACAATTATGGATGGCTATAATCCAGTGCCGCCGCCATTGCCGCGACGCGTGCCACCGGTGCGTAATATCTATGCCGAGCCCTTTGCGCATGAGCCGAACCATTCCAGCAGGTAAATATTACAAATATATGCATCGATCAATTATCGATAACTTAATGAACTACCAAAAACGTCTACAAACTATTTAACTTAAAAGCCACTTTCCGAAGTACGATCATTTGTTCTAAGAATATGCCTTACAGTTGTCAAATATGTATATCAAGTATATCGATAAACGTATCGATCACGAAATCATAAGAAATGTCCATTTATATATAATAATTGATTAATAATCGACAATTGTGTAAACATTAAGTAATTATATGAATATGTCTATTGTGTATCGATAAATCTATCGATAACAATAACTAAGTTAAATATACTCAATATATTTATTATACTTTCCTTTAAGGTAAGCTTAAGCTCTATTAAATATATCTTATTTATGTAACTTATCGATAATTATCGAATACTTAATTAGAATTAGATTTACTTACGTCTTTAGTAAAGCATCATTGACAAACGTCTTCTGAAATTTCTAGAGTTTGAATAAAAACTAATCGAACAGCTTTCGTATACTTATCGATAACAGAGTCGATTAGCCCAGTGCACGTCAAGCATTATTGAGCAACAAGTTGGCTCAAAGAGTGAGCTAAGCTAGCAGAGCTCGTAGCCTAGTTAACAGCTAATATGAATACATCCACTTAACTTAATGCCCATTCTTAAGCATACAACATAAAAGGCTGACCTGGTATAAGTGGCACACAACCACCCACCAACAGCCCCACCAAGCCATCGCCGAGTTGCCTAGTTGCATATCATGAGAAAAGGAGAGATAAAGAGAGAGAGAGGAGAGATAAAGAGCGAGAGGTAGAAGAACGTTTCATATAATGCGCGCGAGTATCTTGTCGAGTGTACAATATGCATTTTGATATGATAAGGCTGGAGTAGTGGGTGGGGTGGGGTCGCTGGGATTTGCTTGAGTGGGTTAACTGCATATAAATGCGAGTGTGTATGTGGGTGTGTGTGTGGGTGGTGCGCGTGTGTCGCATATGGATATTGTGTATATTCCTTTTCATAAAACAAGCTTCAACAATGCCAAATAGCCCCAGTCCGCAGCTATGAGCGAGCTGGCGGGCTGCTGGTTAGTGAGGTGGTTGAGGGGAGGTGGTGGGGTAGGTGCTTGATAGGAACAGCGCTCAGGCTCATATCTCGCATATCAAAAACGAAATATGCACAGCGAAAAGCAAGAAGCGAGGAGGTAGGCAATGGCCAAATGGTAACCAACAGTCAGTCGTCAGACAGTGTGTAAAAGGGGTTGAAGTGGGGCATGGTGCTGGAGAGGAGCAGTGCTTCCCCCTCCCCACCGACTGCTGTTGTTGTATGGTAAAAATGCGGCGCAATATGTTTGGCTGTCAGTTTCATGCATTTCATATCGAAAACCATTCGTACTTTTACTTGAGTGAGTTTTATGAGCAGCTGAGCAGAAAGAGAGCGAAAGATAGGGCAAAAGAGGGAGAAAGTCAGTGAGATAGAGACAGGGAGAGAGAGTGCGAGAGAGAGAGCTGGGGAGTTGGAAGTTGGGTGTTGGCAACAATATAACAACGACTGAGTGGATGCATCTATGATGATGCTCTAGTGAATACATTGTGCACAGCACACTCAGCCACAGCTAGAGTGAAAAGGGAACAGAGAGAGAGAGAGAGAGAGAGAGAGAAAGAGAGCGAGGGCGAAAGAGGTAGAGCTGCTCTCGTAGCTAGACACAGAGCCACGCTTTTCTTTTTTGGGGCCAACCAAACTGGGTTAGCATTTTTCGTGGTGCTCTTCGTCTGTGCGTAGTTCCCTATTTTGTTAGCAACGCAATGGTCTCCAGGCTTTATTAAATGCAAACTCCAATTAATTTTTATTGGACAATTCCAATACCACGAATGGCACAGGCAGAGCCGGCTCATATGCATATGGACGGCCCCCCTAAAAAAAGAAGAGAAAAAAAAAAAAAACAACTGTTTTGCCAGGCCCAAAGACAATTACCTTGCATAAATGCAGCAGGTATTTTACCTGAGAGCAGTGCAGGCTGAGGCTGAGCTTAGCTGTTGAAATACCCTGTGAGAGGGCAGCTCTAGGAGTTATTATGAAGCATATTCTATATAAAAGATAAGGGCATCTAGAATAGGACTATAAGATAATTATATTTATTTATATTAAGTTTTTTTATATAGTATTGCATGCATTTATAAATCATATTTTAGGCTAATTACATAATTATATTGACACATATGCATACTATTATTATATCATATATAGTATTATTCAATCATAGACTTATTTTTAAGCCATCCAAAGTCCATCTCATCTATTCAAATCACATATGCTTAAGATATGATCTTTAGATTCTTAAAAATTCTGCACTCAATCAACAGCTCGTTATGTATTTAAGTTTTAAAGCCGAGTAATTTAGAACTAACTTCAATTACTTTTGCTCAACTAATTGCTAATAAGAATTCTTTCTCCTTTCCACAGGTAAGTTGACTTCGATTCAAGTTTTGGCCAATGATTGGTAAGATATGAGTACAATTGAGCTGTAATTCGGTTACAATCGCTGCAAGTCAACAAGTAGGCAAGTGTGCTCGACTAGCAGTTATCCTATAAATAATGCTGAGGGCGGTATGCAGTAATTGAAGAACTGTAGAAAGCTAAATAGAGGGGGAGAGCACTTAGAAATCTCAAATAAAAATGCAAATATCCCCAACATTAATACCAACTTACAGGGTATTCTGGCAAACTGAATTTAAGAGTCCGTTGAGAGTTTTTGATTCTCGACGTCTCTATTTTAGTATTTTTTTTCCCCCTTTCTTTTTTTTCGGGCAAAGTTTTCAGCATTTCAACGTCGCTGCAACTGGCAGGACCTGGGAAATGTTCTCTATGAACAAACATTTAATAATTCAAGTAGCCCGGCGGGCGGACAGCTAGAACGCCCCTAATGACCTACTTCACGACCTGCCCACCCTCGGCCCCCGACTCCCTTCGAGCAACAACAATAATATACATAAGTAATTTCTGTGGGCGTTGTTGGTTTAGGCCCGGCCTCCGTTGCTCTACCCCTGCATTTGGCAGCCCCTTTGCCGGTGGCTCCTTTGGGGACAGGTGCTGCAGGCAAAAGTTGTTTGCTTCACTCGGCTACACAGCTACGGCTCCAGCTCCAGCTCCAGTTGCAGCTCTGGTTCGGTTCGGTTTGAGTTTAGTTTAGTTTAGTTTACTTGCAAGAAGTTCCGCGCTCTGTTTGGGTTCGGCTACGGCTTCCGGCTTCCTGCTGCACCAGCAACAACAACAACAACAACGACAGAACTTCAAGTGCATTTGCGCTGGCAGAAAAAAAAAAAAAGGAACAAGAGAAAAAAATATATGGCAAAATATGCGAAATATGGCAGCCTGTGCTGTTGACGAAGGAGGCGGCAGGCCGAGCTGACTGGAGCGGAGCTGGGGCTGGCTGTTGCAACAAAGTTTTGTGCACTGAAATTTGCATGGCACATGAAGGAATGCCAAAACCCAGCCCATGCCGCCCACTCGAGTGCGCATTTCTACTGACAAATTTGCCAAGCGGCCCCTTCACTACATGTGGCCTGACCTCTTGACCTAGTCGCCCAAGCCTGAAGTAGCGAACCAGCACAAAAAAATGCAGGCAGGAAGGAAAAAAAATCGCAACTACAAGGAGTTGTAGAAGCGGGCCACAGGCTACCAATCAATATGCCCAGCACATGCCCCGCATAAAGAAGAAGATGAAGAATATATATATAAGAAATATATGTATGTATGTATGTATATATGTATATGCCAGCAGCTGAATGTCCAGCTGGACCAGCATCCATACAGAGCTGACTGAGCTCATCAGCAGCATTATGATTGAAATGCTGAGCTTCATATGATTGCGTCTATATATAGAATAATGTATATTTGTTGTTTATATATAAATATACATATATAGATATGCCTAAATACACATAGGATAAAGAGAAAGAGCGAGAGAGAGAGAGAGAGAGAGAGAGAGACAAGAGAGTGTGGGAGGCGAACGATTTGTGCGCAACATTTGTTTCGGACAGTTGGCAACTAATTTGTTTGGGAAATAGACGGCAGGAGCAACAGTAGCCGTGGCAGTAGTTCGAGCCAAGTTAAACAGGGCTAAGTACAAAGGTTAACAAATTGAATAAAAATTACAAGTAAAATAAACAGAAAGAAAAAGAGAGAGAGATAGAGAGAGAGAGAGAGAGAGAAAGAGGAAGATAAAGACAGAGAAGGAAAAGAAACAGAAGAAAATTAAATTAGAGAGAAAAGAGGGATGATAAAGAAGAAATGAAAGAGAAGAAAAAGGAGAAATAGAATGAAAAAGGATAAATATAATGGAAAAGAAAGAGACAGAGGAAAAGGAAACGATGAGGAAGGAAAAGAAAAAAGACAAGGAATAGGGGAAAGGAAAGGAAAAATAAGAAGATATGGAGATAAGGGAAGAAAAGGTAACGAGGACATAGAGAGAGGCCAAGAAGAAGCAGCAAAACTAACCCGAAGAGACATAGATGATATTAGATCCATAATAAATATGAAATACATAAGAAATAAAAATATATCGATATCGATAATTATGTACTGTTGCACTATGCGCTCTCTTGTCTCAACTTTCAACTATAATTGTGTCGACTACACCATTTGGAAGGAAAGACAATTGTTTCCGGTTTTTCCAAGTTTATAGTTTGATATATGTGTGGAAATGTCTTTTTGGCTAGTGTTGAACTCGAAATACTAAAAATTTGTTGGTGAACTTTAGCTTGAATTGGCCCAGTATATGGTATATGGATCTATACTCAGCACGCATTTCTAGATGTAGTATTGCTTGATGCGCTCAATCAGCTCTGGTGCTGGACTTATCGCTTTTAGATGCTTGAGTGCTTGATTGGGCTCCGGATGTGCTCGACATTTGTAGAAAGGTTTCCAGATCCACTGAGGTAACAGGCGTGTGCCAGAGAGAGGACGATTCGATGGTCTGCAGTTGTGGCATTGATGGATTGGAGTCAACCATCTCGATGACGACTTCGCCAATTTGTGGGCGTGGCCTCTGCTCCTCGAGCCTGAACGGCACAGACACCGACACCAGCGTATCATCAGCTCTATTATGCTCCAATATGGTGACACCACGGCTAACGCTCGATCCTGCCACATCACCTGATAATTAATTAATATTGAAGCAGCTTAATAGAAATGGAAATTGGCTTCAGTGCGATGTTCTGTACTCACGTGGGGAATTCTTGCCGGACTTGGCTAGATTGGATTTCCTGATTGAGCTAGAGGTAGTCGGTGTTGAGTCGGAGCGGGAGGGCGGCTCATGAGATTGGCTGCGCAATCGGCGATTCTCCTGCTGAAGCATTTCGCGCAGATTCTTCATCTCTTCGGTCAGTTTAATGCGGCGCTGCTCCAGGCCCTGCAACTTCTGATGTTCCGCCTCGAGTGTGGCAAACAGTTGCTTGAATACGCTCGTATTCTCACTCGGCGGCACTGGGCTACCGTTGACAGAGACCCCCGAAAGATTTTCACTATTATTGGGTGTCGTATGAACGAAAATGCCCTCATCATTGCTCATGATATTGATGTTGACATCCTCGAGATCGCTGCTCGCTCCCGAACTGTAGTCCATCAGATTGTCCAGCTCCTGCTGGTTGGCTGCCTGTTGAACCTGCTTCCTGTTGTTGAACATCTTGCTGATTGGCTGATTGGCTGATAAACTCCGCTCGATTAACCGCTCGGCTCAGGTGGGACTTCTGGTTTCTAAGTTAGCCAAAAAGAATATGTTTAATTTACTTTCGAATTTCGTTTATATATTGTATGGGATTAATTGTGTGTGTGGTCTGAGCTATTCAGTTTTCTGTATTGCCAAACGCTTGCTTCGACTGTTGAATGAATTGTGCTGGGAAATGCGTTAGCTCATTCCGACTAACATCGATTGTCACAACGAATAAGGCGAGGCTAACTAGATCTTCATTTGGTGCGCTTTGCCTTTGATCTCTGTTTCGTTAGTCTTTTAATTCTGTAGCTTCCTTTGGCTCACAGTTGTCGATTGTCGCTTGGGCATATCATATGAATATCCCTGACACCTGCTCGTCCTTTCCGCGAGCAAAGCGAGCATCCTTTCGCTGTCTTAACGCCCTCGCGTTCGGTTTGAATTGCATTTCGTATCCTTTTCCATTCAGGTCGAAGCCCTTCGTTTATTGGCTCAACTACGCCCGGTCCATTATGTCTGGGGTTTCATGTTGCCAGCGTTGCTCGAATCTTGTTCTCGCCTTCTCGTGCCTTGGCCCTGATCCTTTTATTTTTCCGGGGTTAGGTTCCGAAATGTTCGCTCATATTTTGCCAGACAAACTTCAAACTATTGTTGTGGCAAGTCAATGAACTGGCAAAAGTGCCTAATATTTCCACACACACACACACACACACACCCACTCACTTTACACCCCAATCTCACACACACACACACATATATATATATATATGTATAATAGTAGACCATGTATTGTGCTCCAGCGCTAGGCTCCGGGTATATTAAAAGTCTATTTCTTTGGCAAGACAATAAAGCTGGATAGCACCAGCAGCAAAAAGGGTTGCGAGTGCCTCCCTCTCGCACTCTCGTTGGCTCTCTCGAAAAAAGTAACTGCAGCAGATGAAGTATAGTGCGGAGTTCGCGTTTAGTTGTAACAAAAGAGCACACCAAGATGAAGCTCAAGCCGAAGAAGGATGAATGGACCAGCAGGCAGCGAGCAGCGGGCAGGCAGCCAGGCAGGCAGACAAGCGAAGAGGCGAGTCCTACAAGCCGGTCCAGACCAGAGCAGGCCCGGCTAGTCGGGCTATTGTTCTACATCGCGAAATAGCGCACATAAAATGCCAAAGAATGGGAATAAATGATAAAAAAAATAAACCAAAGGCGAGGCGAAAGGCAAGAACGCAAGGAGCGAGGCAAAAGAAAACGAGAAGCGAGCAAAACTGACAGCCAACTGGCAGCCGCAGGGCCTGGCCTGGCCTGCCGTGGCCGTGGCGGGGGCGGGGGCGGGTGGAGAATGTCGGATGAAATGCCATGCCAAAGTATCTGGCTGCCCCACTCAAGTCACACCATCCACTCCCCGCACTCCACAACACTCGCCCCCTCCCTCCTGCCCCCATCCCTTGCGGCACCACTTCATCTGGGCTAGCATCAGCCTCGCCCCAACAATGTGCGACTGTCAATTTCAGCGACATCCTCGACGTTGCCAACGAAAAGGGTTAAAATGTTTCATTGCGCTCGCCTCTTGGCGCGCTCCGAAGACAACATATGCCAATAATTTACGCAATTTAGTCAAAAACAAAACAACAATGGCAACAACAACAAAAAAATATATATAAATAAAAATAAAAATAAAATAAGACGAGATGAGATGAGAAAAGCAAACAAGAAAAGTGGAAAATGCTGCAGACACAGACAGAGCGAAAGAGAAAGAGAGAGTCGGCGAAAATGGGAGAGAGAGAGAGAGAAAGATAGAGAGGGATAGAGTGCGAGAGTGAGAAAGAGTCAGCAAGTATTCAAAGATTCATTCAGTTATCCGACCAATAAAAGAACACAGCAACATGTGTAGGCGCAGCCGAAGGCGATGAGCGGAGCTGGTCTACAATTTCATGCTCTTTCGTTCTGCATATACCCTGTAATTTAGTGAAAACTATATGCTAGAAGACTGTAATTTGCTGTAGTTTAATGAACTGCAAAATAATTTTACCATATAACAGTATAATAGTATAACAGTATAACAGTATTGCAGTATATTAGTATAACAGTATTGCAGTATCATAGGATAACAGTATTGCAGTATAGTTATATAACAGTGTTACAGTATAGTTGTATAACAGTATTGAAATGCAACAGAATGACAGTACTACCGTATAACAGTAGACATTCACATATGAAAATACCATTACTACTTATAAGACGCTCTATAATGTTATAATATCTGTATGTCTGTAATACAACAGGCTGAAAAATTATCTATGGGCTGGAGTATCTCCATAGACAGGTGTATATCAGAAGCTATATAACAATAGAGTATAGTGCTCAAAAATGAAATTCGTAGGAACGGTATAACAGAGTTAAAGAGAGCAAAAACTAGAACTGTATAACAGCTGTATATCAAAAAGACTGTAAGGACTAGTGTATAGCATCTGTACCACAACGGTATTATAACAGCTCCAAAAAGACTAAGAACTTCTAAAGTCGACGATAATACGCTTTCCATGACTATAATCTATATCTCCTCCAGAGCAGTTTTCACAATAAAATCTTGATTTTGCCCACACATATCAAGTATGCCCGCCTTCAGCCCTGACAATTTCACTCGAATCGCAATTTAATACAGAGTATCCCCGGGGCCAAAGCTACCATTTTGGTTGCTGTTTTCCTTGGGTGTTGTAGGTTTTTTTTCGTTTTCTGGTATCTGGTTTAACAACCACTTGGTTGGCCATTTCTTGGGCCGAATTGATGCTCAATTTTATATTTTAAATGTTATTCAAATTGTGTCACATTTCTCAGTGTAATGGCCCGGAATTGTGTGCAGAGGAATGCGTTGTTTGGGTCTATGGATCTGCCATATAATATGTTTGTTCTTGTGGCATGTTTCGTAGACAGCAATTCCAGCAATCTAACCGTCCTATCCTTTCTAGCCCCATCCCCTTCCCCGCACCTACTTTTTATTTTGCTCCATAGTAGGTATGTTTCTGTATGTGTGTATGTGTGTGTTTTATTTATTGTCTGCCATTTTGGCAAAGCCCGCACCCCAGCTCCAGAATGGTCGAGTGAGGGAGAGAGAGGGGGAGAGTGGAGCTTCCCATCGGTTTGGTAACTGAAGGCGGGCAATTGGCATCGATGCCATAGAAATGTGCGAGTCGTGTAGTTCAATAAGCAAACAGTTTAACTGCGCTAAGCTAATTAGCCAGTAGAGGAAGTTGTGCTATATATATACTTATATATATATATGTATGTATGTCTATACGATATATGTGCTGTGCATTGGGCAACATTCTCTGACCCCAAAGGTCGCACACGGTGGTCGCTGCACGGAAATTGCGTCATTAACAGGCGCTTAACGAGCCTCCAGTCGGCTCTCGAATGTGTGACTTGCGTGCGTGTGTGTGTGTGTGTGTGTGCGGGGTTAAGCTTTGCGGTTATTGGGCTTGAATGATAGCTAAAAGCTTTGCTGAAAAGCTCGTAAATATATAGCGCCATAGGTCAGAAGCATTGATTGAGCCACCAGATGAGATTGATGACGGTTGTTGTTCGCCACAGAGATGGTCTAGCAAGCCCAACAAATGCCGTAGATGAGCCACTCGGTGATCAAATGCTCCCAATACAATGCTAAGCCACTGTGGATTAAGTCAAGTTAATGATTGAGAGGCGAGGCTTGATTGAGCTCAGCTAGAATCTAGCTAAAGTTGGGCCTAGGATTGATTGAAGGCAGAAACTGAGGTCAATTGAGTGAGAGGCGGGATTGAAAGTGAATGAAGGACTTCACAGGAGACTTGACTGAATAGAAAAACAAATTATTTTAATTGAATGATTGAAACATAATATTGAAGAGGTTTGTTGAGAGCATACAGCTTGACTGATGGATCCTACAAGGGAGGCTAGCTCTCTGATTAAAGAAAACCCACACACTTCAATAGAGAACTGCTTCCAGCGGAAATATGTACAAAATTACGGTTATTTTGTGTTTAATGTTCTTTTCATCCAATTTAAGGAGCTGTAAGTCTATGTAATTGAACCTAATGCCCGGGGGCTGGGATTATTATGAGGTCAGCCTTTTGAAGTAACCTAATGAGTCCACTTTCGACCAAACATACACTTTTCAGCTACTTGTATTTCTTGGTAGTCGTGTGGTGGAGTAGGCCGCAAGGCACTAACATGACATTTGAAGTACTACTACATGGCACACAGTAAATGAGGCAGCATTGCGCTGTGCCTTGTCGGCTAATTGGACAACATGTTGCGGCGGCGGCACAGAGGGCAGCGCAGTGAAAGTGAAACAGCCGAAACCAAATGCCGAATAACCGAAAAACCGAGAAACCGAGAAACTAAGCAACCGAAAGATCCCCAGAAATCCAAGAGCCGAAAAAACACACATAAAAGATGAGCGCAACATGAGAAACATAGAACACACACACACACACACACACAGTGTTGGCTAATCAGGCACACGCCAGAGCTAATGCTCAGGACCGAAAGGGACAAGGCAAGGATGGCACAGGAGTCGGCTTTAGAGTGGAAATCACAGACAGCGACAGAGACCCAAGTCAAAGGGCAAGTCGTAAGGCACACATCAATGCGGCTACAGCTATTTCTTTGCGAGCTTCGAGCTTCTGTTTCTGCCAGCTCTGCTCTTAGCATATTTTTGGGCTCAGCTTCCTTTTCTTTTTGTTGTTGTCCACTTCCTTTCCCCCCCCCACCCGTCGCATCCCCTGCAACGCGGCATGTTTCATTCTCAGTGGCTGCTCAAAACTTCGGGGTGCAGTTTTTATTTTTCAAACATCTTTTTAGAACTTTTTGTCTTCTACTCCAACTCCACACACACTCACACGCACACATATGTGTGTGTGCCATGATGCTGCACAAAAAACTTCCGACAACAATTCTGCAAACGCAAGCAGGAAAACATAAATCTGGCTAAAGCTAAAACGCAAACTTTTAGTTAAAAAAAAAAAAAAAAAAGAAGAAGAAGACGAAGTAGAAAGACGAGTAGTATGAAAAAAAAAAGAATGAATTTTGTGTGAATGCGTGCAAGTGATAGAGCTGGAATAACCCAATGCCATGAGAGATTGGGGCCAACTACAGGCAGCTACTAGCTGGCCCGCAGGCAAGGCCAGCAGCTAACAACAATCAAGTGAGCTGACTTCTACATATATATGTAGC